TTACGTTATAATGTTACCCAAAAGATTACATGGGTCATCCTAGCCATACCTCCTACTTATACATCTTCTGCTCTCTTCTCCCCATTAGTCCTTTATACCATCCCCCTTTCCCACCACACAGGAAAGTTCAGGTGGGCTTCAGTATCGGTTCCTAAATTTCTGTTACTAGATCATATAGCTCTCACTGGTGTAGCCTATAACATATCCCACTATCAGTGTAGTCACAAAGGGTACGTCTAAACTACATGGCTCCGTCGACGGAGCCATGTAGATTAGGATTATAGGCAAAGGCAAATGAAGCCGCAATTTAAATGATCACGGCTTCATTTACCTTTGCCAAAACAACAAATCTACATGGCTCCGTCGACGGAGCCATGTAGATTAGGATTATAGGCAAAGGCAAATGAAGCCGCAATTTAAATGATCACGGCTTCATTTACCTTTGCCAAAACAACAAATCTACATGGCTCCGTCGACGGAGCCATGTAGATTAGGATTATAGGCAAAGGCAAATGAAGCCGCAATTTAAATGATCACGGCTTCATTTACCTTTGCCAAAACAACAAATCTACATGGCTCCGTCGTCGGAGCCATGTAGTCTAGACACAGCCTTAGAGTCAAATCCTGAGGTACTTCATTTTTACTCATGTTGACAGTTAGGACATGTTTACTCCCACTGAAACCTGTGTTTTGTCTCAAAGAGTGTGGAGCAAGCAACTCAGGATTTGGTTCTATTTTTTTATTTTTTTACTTCTGACCCATCCAACTTCACCTCAGCAGTATTTCTCCAGTCTCCGTTTAGAATCTCTTTTACATGCACAGTGTAAGTCAGTAGCTTTTAGATGAAATAATAGTGAAACAAGTCTTTGGGGTTAAATATTAAGCCAATTATCTCCCTTTGCCTAGATTTCTAGTTCCCCTCTGCTGCATCCAAGCATTGCTCAAGGAAAAGAAAGTTTACCCTGGGAAAATGTATACCAAGCCTGTATACAAATGTAGGAAATGTGTCAGTGTGGGAAGCTATTTTTCCTAGGGATTAGTTTAAAGAAACTGTTTACTAAAGAAGATTACATTGCAAAATGATTATGGTCACAGCAAAACATACTCGCATTTGAGTGTATAACAGAAGAACTTATGTTTACACTAATGTACAGGATTCACCATAACACTAGGAATATTTACATCCACAGGGCTTACTTACAGGCTTCTTGGGTGTCCAGCTCTAATACAAATTCACCCCTCTGTGGGTCTGTATCAGAGGTTCTGTGATTTGCTCTGCTATATAAATCATGGCCATCACGGCTAACTCAGCTCCTATTGTTTGAGGCGTGGAGGTGATTGAACAACATTTGCAATGTCCTCAGCCACCTACCTTAGCCACTGTCCAAGCCTCCCATCCTATTTAGCTGCCTACCCAGAATAAACACCGGCTTCCTTAATGCAGCGTCCAAAATTCACATGCTGAGAGCCCGGCTATGTACAATCTGATGAGTCTGAAACACCAGAAAGTTAAAGGGCTCACTTCAGGGCGACTGGCTGAAGTATGGAGGTGCATAGTGCACCTCTTTATTACAGGGGTAGTTACTGCTGTCATCCTCATTCTCCTAAGAGTTTTTCCCTGGTGAGAGCAGCCCTAAATTATATTTTGGATCTAAGAGTTCTGCTAGAGAGGGTTGCCAAATGGTTTAAAAAAATACCGAACACACGTGCTATAAATTTGTTGAGCAAAAAACCCCACCCAACACCATGCTTAACGCCCAATGGGAACTTTATTAACAACAATCTCAACAGTCTACATCATATATTTTACATTAGATTGTGCGGCTTGTATCAATTTTCCAGTAAGAACAGGCAGAAATTCCACCCCAGTCAGTTTTGGCTGAGGCAAGAGCCCATGGAGAGAGCCTAAATACACAGCCAGAAGGCACCTGCAGGGTTTCTCTCCCAGACTACGGCTGCACCACGTGTTTGAAGAATGCTCAGGAGCACAGACAGGGCTCCTTCTCGCCAGGGCGTCACTCCCACGTCAGACGCAGTGAGACACAACTGACCAGCAGAGGGCTCCCAGCACTGAAATGCGATTGCTGCACCACCTCCCCAGCCACTCCTCCACCCCCGCCAGACCTCCGTCCGGTGCCCAGATGGAAAAGCAGAAAATACCAGACATTGCACATGTTGGTATTTTCTGGGCTTTTTTTTTTACCAGACAGAAGATGCAATTTCCGGACTGTCCGGGCAAAAAATGGACACCTCGCAACCCTACTGCTAGAATAGACTAATCTGGGAACGTGCTGATTCCATATACCTTCTAGCATAGTAGTCACATCCATTCTCTAGCCAATAGTTTCCACTTCTACACAGGTTCCCAGTCTGTGGTTGCTTTCCACCACTGCAGGCTCACATAGCACAAATTGTTGGGCTTTCTGACCTGGGAACCTTCTCCAAAATGGTAACACATACCAGGACAACAGAGCTTCTGACCCTCCTGCTCGTAGCTATGGACTAGGACTGGTTGCTTACAGGCTCAGTGCTGTTGCCTGATCTAAGATTACTTATACATTTCCAGTTACCGCCTTGACAGGTCTTTTGCCCCAGGCTCAAGCCCAGTAGTTAATTGTTTTATGGTTGGGAACCCTGATGTACACAGCTGCAACATCCATACTATAAGAGCTCTTGTGTATTTACAAATATCGTTTATTAATACATTTAGCTCAGGGTATGTCTACACTACAACGTTAATTCGAACTAACTTAGTTCGAATTAGTTAATTCGAACGAAGCTAATTCGAACTAATGGATCCAGACTAAAAAACTAGTTCAAATTAGCGTTTTGCTAATTCGAACTAGCATGTCCACATTAAGTGGCCCCTGAACCGGGGTTAAGGATGGCTGGAAGCAGTGCCGGCAGGGCATCAGAGGAGGACTTAGAGCGTGGAGCTGCTGTCTCAGGCTAGCCGAGGGCTGTGCTCAAAGGGCCCCGACCCCCACCTCGGACAGACAGTTCTCAGGGGTGTCCTGCTTGCAAAGCAGTCCTGGCTTGGATTTCCCGGAGTACCCACACTGGGCACATCATAGCACTCCGCCATCAGACCAGCTGCACTTGCCACAGGCTGCCATCTGGGGAGAGGGGACAATTGGGGGGCTCCAGGAGAGCTTCCACCCAAAAAGCCCGCAGAGCCAGCCCAGTCCTCCCCATCGGGGGCGCGTACCCCATTCCTCCCTCACCTCCTTCCACTTACCGTTCCCTAGCCCCTCTTCTTGATGTACAAAATAAAGGACAATTGTGTTCAAAAATGGAATCTGTCTTTATTGAACAAAACTGGGTGAGACTGGGAAAAGGAGGTGGGAGAGGGGAAGAGAGAGGGTGGGAGAGGGGAGGGCAACTAAAATGATCAGGGGTTGGGAACAGGTCCCATATGAAGAGAGGCTAAAGAGACTGGGACTTTTCAGCTTAGAAAAGAGGAGACGGAGGGGGGACAGGATAGAGGTCTCTAAAAGCAGGAGTTGGGTGGAGAGGGTGCATACAGAAAAGTTCTTCATTAGTTCCCATAAAGAAGGACTAGAGGACACCAAAGGAAAGGAATGGGTAGCAGACTTCAAACTAGTAACAGAAAGTTGTTCTTCGCAAAGCAAAGAGTCAACCTGTGGAACTCCTTGCCGCAGGAGGCTGTGAAGGCTACAACTAGAACAGAGTTTAAAGGGAAGTGAGATCAAGTCATGGAGGTTAGGTCCATGGAGGGCTATTAGCCAGGGGGTAGGAGTGGTGTCCCTGCCCAAGGTTTGTGGAAGGCTGGAGAGGGATGGCATGAGACAAATGGCTTGGTCACTGTCTTCGGTCCATCCCCTCCAGGGTCCCTAGGGTTGGCCGCTGTCGGCAGACAGGCTACTGGGCTAGATGGACCTTTGGTCTGACCCAGGACGGCCACTGTAAGCTCAGGGCTCAGGGTCGGGGGTCTCAGTGGACCACCTTGATTTTCATGCACACCTGCTCCTGGATGGCCAGGCTGGCAGCTCTCCTGCCCTAGCCGGCCACTTTCCTGTGCCTAGTGCGGAGGTCGAGGACGAGGTCCATGATGTCCGCACTAGCCCAGGCGGGTGCCCGCCTCTTGCGGTCCCGGGCAAGCTCCCGGGAGCCGCCAGCCTGGTCCCGGGAAGAGGGGGAGGGCTGGGGGGCATCGGGTGGGTGGCTTGATCCGTGCCAGGTGCAGGGTCTGCTGGCTGGGTGCTGGCAGGCTTGCATCTGGCACGGGCACCGTAGCCAGCCCGGGCCCCTTTAAGGGGTCCGGGGCCGGGAGGGGGGCAGACGAGGTTCCCTGGTGTTGGCCAGAGTGGCCACCAGGGAAACCTGGGGAGGGCTAGCCTCCCACTTGTTCGAATTAAGGGGCTACACACCCCTTAATTCGAACTAGCGGAGCGCTAGTGTAGCGCCTATGAAAGTTAGTTCGAACTAACGTCCGTTAGTTTGAACTAACTTTGTAGTGTAGACATACTCTCAGTCACCAACACCCCAGTTTTATAAGATAGATCCTTTAGAACACTGTTTCTCAAAGTGGTCTGTGAAACCACTTAGAGAAACCTATTAACTGGCTGTGCCAGTTTGTTTACTTATCGGCACCACGGCTACAGAGCCTCACAGCTCCTATTGGCTCCATTTCACCGTTTGCAGCCAAGGGGAGCTGCTGTAAGTGACTTGGACCAGGCTGCCACTTCCTGCCAGTCCCCTTGGCTGCAAACAGTGAAACGGTACCAAGAGGAGCCATGGGGCTCTGTGGCCACAGCGCTGGTAAGTAAACAAATCCGCGTGGTCAGTTAACAGGTTTCTCAAAGTGGTTTCACGGACCACTTTGGAAACACTGTTCTAGAACAACCTGTTCTAGAACAAGCCATCATCTTCCTCATCACCTTTGTCTTCCCCATCATCACCAGTGGCCATAATTCTGGCACCTCCCAAAGACTACATCATCTTCTCCCACCGCCCGTAGGCTGAGATACCACTTTTATTATATGTCACGCTGACGTTTTTATGTTCGATACATATTCAGATGGGGATGTTTCTTTTTCTCCTTATTTGTATTTCCTCATCTTACTAATGTGGACATTTCTTTTTCTTATCAGCCAGTATATCACTGATTTCAACTTACTGTCATATATGTCAATGCATTACCATGAATGAGCCTTTTGTGGTTGTCTATCACATTTGTTATTTCTGTCCTACCTGGTTATTTGGTCTGGTCTTAACCGGTTATTTTGGGTTTTTCTAAGTAATGATGTACCTGCTAAGTTTGAGGGTATACCTGGAAGCCCCTATGCCATTGAAGGTTGCTTTATCTAAGTGAAAAATCCTGAATATATGCTGTATATATATATCCTGACTGTGCTATCTGGGTGAAAGGTCCCAGGCATGTGCATGCTAGCTTTGCCTTAGATCAACATACAGGCCTGTAAGTTCCTTGCAATATTGTCAAACTGCTAATATAAACCTACTTATTATAATAAACATAATCAAAACCATAAGGAAATAATAAATCGATATGTATAGGCAAGCAAGCAGGTTAGCTCTATAGGCTCACTGCTGGAGATGATAAAGGAGTTTCTGATTTATTATAGTCTTCTAGAAAGTCAGCTTTACCAATTCTAGTAATTTATTAAAATAGCCAGTAAATACCCACCCAGTATGGGCAATGTTAACCTTATTGATACAAGCCTTTAAAAAAAAGAGCTCTATGTGGTGCATATCTATTCTGTTACATTACCAGAAGATGAAATCGCTTCTGTTTTCGGTAAAAATACTGTTGGGCTTAGTTTTGATCACAGAAATCTAAAACAGTTTGCTTCTTTCATTTCTATTTACACATCACTAACCCTTCCCAGCTCGTCCTCAATGCCTTTTGATGAACTTCTCCTGATCCCTTTCCAGGCTCTGATGTAAGAGAAATAGAGGATTCAGACTCTTTGGTTTTGGCCAGTGCCAAGTTGTGTGCCCTTGGCAGCATGCTGATCAGTGCAGCAATTCCTGGCTCTCTGGGCTTGGGATCCAGTTACACTTGCTGGCGTCAAGCAGACTGTAAAGGCCAATGTGAAATCTAGAATCTAAAAATAAAACAGTGAAGAAGCATGAAACTAAAACAAGGAGAATATTAAAATCCAGGGGAAATTGCAGACAATTTTGGAAAAGACACGTAAACTAGCTCAAGGGAAAATGCTAACATTGAAATTAAGACAGTGGGTTTGCCTTTTTTAGCTCTATCACCCACTCAAAGAGTTCAGTGTGTGTGAGTCCAGGTATTTCTGCTAACAAAGAGTCCATGGAAGCCTTTTGAAAAGGCAAATCATTCTGACAGTCTAAGGCTATTTCCCTCATTCTTGCTCGTTTTAGAATTGTTAACCCTGTGTGTGCATCCTTCCAGCCACTTTGGAGTGCCTTCTCAGCTCTCTAGATGCCTCTCGGAGATCAGAAAACAGAATGATGGCCGTAAATAGAAGCTGTTTCTGTTAGCTGTTGTGGAAAGGAAGTTTTCAGGCTTCCTTTGATAAGTCTTAGCAAGAATGGGTAGTGGGACTAATGTTTTTGACTTTCATGTTTTTAATAGGAGTCTGGTGGTTGTGAACTGACAGAGGACAATTTTATATGGAAATTATCAAAGTTAAATGTCAAAGATGAGGACTGGCTGTATAATGAGTTTGTTTTGGAAAGCTGAGGCCAGTTTGAGATCAGATGGAAAAGATAAGTGCTAGTCAGCAGCATATTTTGCCCCTTTCGTTAAGTTTGTGGTTGCACTGTCCTGAACTTTAGGAAAAAATAAATGGGACAAGCCACGTAACCTTTATGGTTTTCTGTCCCTATGTGAACATTAAACCAGAAACAGTGACAAGCTTTTATGAAGCATATGCCCGTTTTGGTGCCTTTTTCTCTTCCCACTAGCTTTATTCCATTTTTAAGGTTTTATTCATAAGCCCCATTTTTGAAAGGTTTATAATTGACCTGTAAAGAATTCACTATAGATTTAAACAAAGTTTCATTGCAGAAGCAATTAAAAACAGTTACATTTTCAACTAACCCATGGGGTGCTGTGTTGTCTTGAAGTATAATAATGAAACATCTAATAATGAGGTTTAAAAATAAGTGTGTGTTTACATAGGCATGTTTTGCTTATTCAGTACCATAACCGGAATTGATTGCAGTGATAAGGCATTCACAGTGGTAGCTCTTTTGGAAATTTGCCTACAGGTTAAAGCTCTCCAAATGGTCTGCCAGATATAGATCTATTACTGGGTTCATTTTCATCAAGCTGTGCAGAAATTCAGCTGTGTGACTCATGGGAGTTGTGAAGTTATAACCTTTCATGCTAGACTGAAAATGCAGTCCTGCATGCACAGTTAAGTGAACTCAGAAGACTTCTAGGCTTAACTCACAGTTCTTTATGAAAGGGTTGTCTTAGTGGTCTAAACACCAGAGATGAAATACCTAGATGCCCTACAAATACTAGGTTTGGATATTGTTATAATTGACTTTGATACAGTCTCACATGGCCTTCTCATTAATTAGGGAAATATAACTTAGATGGAGCTACTATAAGGTGGGTGATAAACTGGATGGATAAATGTTCCCCTGGTATGTCTACACAGCAGGGCTAAAGTTGAATTAAGCTTCACAACTTCAGTTAGGTCAGTTGTGTAGCAGAAGTCGAAATAACTTAACTCGGCTTTTCGTGCTGTCTACACTGCAGGAAGGCAAAGGAAGAACACTCTTCCTTTGATTTCCCTTATTCCTCTGAAATGAGGTTTACAATGAGTCAGAGTAAGAAGTCCTCCAGATCAACATTATTTCAAAATAAAGGCTTGTATTGTAGACACATACTATGTTATTTTGGAATAATGTGAGTTATTCCGAAATAATGCTGCTGTGTAGACAGACTCCCAGGGTATGTCTACACTACCCTCCTAGTTCGAACTAGGAGGGTAATGTATGCATACCGCACTTGCTAATGAAGCCCGGGAAATTCAAATCCCGGGCTTCATTAGCATAAGCGGGGAGCCGCCATTTTTAAATCCCCGCTGCTTCGAACCCCGTGTAGCGCGGCTACACGGGGTTCGAAGCAGCGGGGATTTAAAAATGGCGGCTCCCCGCTTATGCTAATGAAGCCCGGGAAATTCAAATCCCGGGCTTCATTAGCATAAGCGGGGAGCCGCCATTTTTAAATCCCCGCTGCTTCGAACCCCGTGTAGCGCGGCTACACGGGGTTCGAAGCAGCGGGGATTTAAAAATGGCGGCTCCCCGCTTATGCTAATGAAGCCCGGGAAATTCAAATCCCGGGCTTCATTAGCAAGTGCGGTATGCATACATTACCCTCCTAGTTCGAACTAGGAGGGTAGTGTAGACATACCCCCAGAGAGTAGTTATCAGGGCCAGCCTGAGCCATTTGTGCGCCGTGGTCCCCGGGAGCGCGGCGCATGCATGACCCCGCCCCCACGCAGTCTGGCAGTCCCGTGCAACGCCCCCTAAAATGGGGTGCTCTGGGCAGTAGCCCGGTCAGCCCGTACCTTGGGCCGGCTCTAGTAGTTATCAATGGGTCACCATCATGCTGGCAGGGCAGAACAAGTGGGGTTCGGCAGGGATCAGTTTTGGGACCAGTTCTGTTCAATATAAAGTTTGCAGAAGATACCAAGTTGGGAGGGGCTATGAATGCTTTGGAGGACAGGATTATAATTAAAAATGATCTGGACAAACTAGAGAAATGGTATGTGATAAACAGGATGAAATTCAACAAAGACAAAGACAAAGTACTCCATTTAGGAAGGAAGAATCAGTTGCACAGATACAAAATGGGAAGTGATTGAACTGATTAGGCCTCAGCTGGAGTATTGCGTCCAGATTTCTGGGTGCCACATTTCAGTAAAGATATAGACAAATTGGAGAAGGTCCAGAGAAGAGCAACAAAAATGATTAAAGGTCTGACCTAGGTGGGAAGATTGAAAGAACTGGGGTTGTTTAGTATGGAAAAGAGAAGACTGAGAAGGGACACGATAACAACTTTTTAACCTAAAATATTGTTACAAGGAGGTGGGAAAAATTATTCTCTTTAACCTCTGAGTATAACACAAGAAACAATGGTCTTAAATTACAGCAAGGAAAGTTTAGGTTGGACATTAAGAAAAACTTCCTGACGGTCAGGGAGCCTAAGCACTGGAATAAATTGCCCAGAGAGGTTGTAAAATCTCCATCATTGGAGATTTTTAAGAACAAGTTAGAAAAACACCTGTCAGGGATGGTCTAGATGGAGCTTGGTCCTGCTGTGAGTGCAGGAGACTGGACTTGATGACCTTGCAAGTTACCTTCCAGTTCTATTATTCGTTGACTTGGCACCCTTTACCCTGAATACTGTAGTTCATGCTCTGAATGTTCTAAATGAACGATGTAATTGCTCTCCCAGCTATTCTGAGTGAACATTTACAATTTATCACAGACTAACCCTATGACAGGTTAGATAACAGAAGTCCCCTTGGGGTTGTCCCCCAGTGGGCTGATCAAGCCACTGATGCCCACCTACCTGCCCCCTGGGACTTCCTACCACCTTGTCCTGCTGGATTAGAAGCTCCGGTCTCCCTCAGGCAAGACACAGAGTTGGGGTCACTGCCCCCCTGCACAGCAACACGGACACTGAACCCGTTCAGGTCTGGGAGGGCTCAGCACCCAGAAAACCAACCCACAAAAAGAACCAACCCCTCCCCCCAAATCCGTCTTACAAGTTTTACACACAGAAAGCTCGTAAAGTCTGCCCTCTTTTCAATGAAAGAGATGCACAGTGGTTGCTCCCCCTGCCCCGGTTACAGTTATTTACACTGGGCTTTTTATTAAACAAAAGTGTTTTTATTAAGGACAAAAAGTAGGATTTGAGTGGTTGCAAGTGAAAACAGTCTGATCAAAGTAAATTACTACATTAAAATAAGCAAAAAACACCAGCTAATCCTAATCCACTAAAACTTGTTTCAATCAAGTTCTTACCCTAAACAGTTGCTCTAAACATCTTTCACAAGATAAGAAGTCTCTTAGCTTGGACCCAATCCAGCACACATTTTAAGTGGAAAGACTGTTTCCAGCACACATCTTAAATGGTAAGAGGGGCAGAGCATCTCCTGGCATTTGGCAACTGTCCGTATTGTTTGTTTCCCTCCTTCTTATGTCCCTTTTGCCCAAAGTTGGGAGTTCTTTGTGCTCAGTTCAAACTCTTCTCATCACAAGTAGAAAACTTCAGGAACCAAAATGGGTTTCAGCAACAGGTGGCCTGATGGAGAAGGATGGTCCTGTGTTCCACTACCCTGCCTCTCACCCATGGTGCGGGTGCTACTCAAGGACTCTGGCTGCTAGGCTTTACTGCCCTGCATTATAAGCTTTAGCCATTTGACCTGTAATCTCTTATTTGTTGCACATGACCTGACATCTCATGATGGGATGCACCTACCCTGCAATGCAGGTGTCCATTCTATCACAGTATGCGCTCCCAAGCCTTTGAAATGAGTATCCATAGCAACTGACTGGGGCCATCTTGGGCATCAGTGGGCACTGGATTGTGGGTTAAAAGTGTCAAGAAAAAACAGAGAATCCTCTTTCAAGGAGCCAGTGTCAGAAGACAAAGAGGCTTTCCCCAACTGACAGTTAACTCCCTCCAAGTGCCATGAATTTTCACCACCCTGTTCTCTGTAGTGTGACCTGATCCAAATGTTTGCAAAATCCTTTCCCTTACAGCTCAGCAGGTGCAGGGAGTTATATTGTGAGAGTCACTTGTCCTCAATCTAAACAGGAAAGACAAATGGAGGGAGGAAAACAAGAAGTATTAGTTTCCCATTGTAGTGGGGTTACTGTCCCACTCTGGCTGGAAGGGGTTGAAGCAGGTTGGAAGGAGCCTACGTAGAACCCTGGCCAATCAAGAAAAGGCTCATAGAGAGCCAATTGGATGGAGGCTTTCTGAGTGAGTCGTGTTATAAGGAGTTGACCAGGGAGGTTGAGGATAGGAGACAGCAAGCGGGGCAGGGCAAGGCGGCTGCCAAAGGATCCCTGAGCTAAGACCCAGAGTAGTGGGTGGACCTGGGTC